CAATATAAAATTACATTTATAATGACCATGCACGCGCTTTGATTGGTCAAAAACCCATGTTTTATCAGAGTATAAGACAAAAAAAGCGTGTTTCATTGTTTTTTGCCACATTACCTCTATATCATAAAGCAAATGAAGAAGCCTAAGTCGTGTGTTACACCGTGATAAAACACTCCGGACATTTGAGAACCCTCGAGAAAATGTACATTTCCCTTGTGTTCTCAAATGCCTGTCGTGTTTTATCACAGTGTAATACAGTACTTACGCTTCTTTATTTATTAAATAAAAGGGACTTTGAAAAGAACCCCTCAGAGGTACCAAGTTCCTGCTTTGTGGGGGTGGCTTGTAATTTCTTTTTTACCCCTAAGCACTAAGAGGAAGTCAATTTCCAAAACAACACATTTACTGACACTTAAAAATTTTAATACTGATAAAGACGATTTCTTCGAACACCTTTCCCTTGTAAAGTTGATAGCCTGTGTTATATAGAGCCGCGGCTGTGACACAAAGATGATTGTCAAATATTTCCTGTCATATTTTTTTCGGCTCAACTAAAAGGTACCGAGGAAGGTTCCACTGTGGACTTTTTGAGTATTTTGAGGCTCAACACCCTCCTAAGAAGTACAAAACCTGCTTTTTTTATTCCAAAAAGGCACGATGAGCACCCCCGTCCTGGGATTACTCCGGTGTGAACCTAAAGTATTTAGTTGGGTTGACTCTGGGTTCGTTTGGATTTATGAGTTCCTTGAAGTTAAGGCAGAAATAAGATACTAATAAAAGTAAGAGTCTCCGAAAAAAAAAAAAAAAAAGGAACGAAGCTCCGTGTTCAAAATGTTTTTTCGTCCACACTAAATCGCAAAGCCGGCGTTTTCAAATTCCGCCGGTATGTAGAGCGTCTTCGAAAAGCTCCTTTTTCGTGACGGTTTAGGGTAGACGGCAGGCCTAGCTGTAGAGATAAAGTTGAGTTTCCGAATTTCTCCAGCGTAGAGTTGACGGGGCCCAAGCTTGATTTACATTGTTTCTGTCAGGGTCTTTCACGCAGAGCAATATGTTAAATTAAAAGTTCCTTTAGAGAAAACCCGAGAGTATTTGTTCAATGGTCATGAATCATACCAGGAACAATCAAGTCACGAACAAGGTATTTCTCTCCAGATATTTTGATTTTTACATAAGCAACGCCTTGGTGTAAACTTTATGAAAAACTATTTAAAAAAGAAAAAAACAAAAACAATACACTTATTATTTCCGTGAGCTGTTCATAACAGCGTGACGGACGACGGTACGCATAGGCATTTTCTATTTAACAATTAGATTTCTGTCGTGTGATAGTTGACGAGGGCGCAGCCCGAGTCAACTATTACGCATAGAAATCGAGAGCGAATAATCTAACTCTCTCGATCACAGAAAAGATAGTGAGTAGCGTAACCAATCAGAGAACGGCATTCGTGATAGAACACTGCTTTCAACCAGTATGAACCTTTGTCTGTTTTCTCAACAGCCTCCTGGATGATATATCCTGTTTTAACAAGTACTTCCTCGAGTTTGGTACCATTGTTTAAATATTTTGAGGTAAAAGAGATAGAACAAGACGTCAAAATGGTGAAAGCAAATAAATATCAACTAAAAAGAAAAAAAATTGCTAAAGCGATTCAAAATTGTACTAGAATGACATTTTAAATTCTCCAAAATTAAATTACGAAAAAACCGATTCTCGAACTGTTCCTACATCCATCCTTGTAATGCTACATTTTGTTCTCAAAATACTTGTTGTGTTCTTACTCTATAGAATCTTCTGTCCAATTTATTTGACATTTGGTTAAGTAATATTGAAATTGGGAAAGAGATTTTCGATAATCGCTGACCTAGTATTGGACTCTTTCCTTTTAACTCTGAAATTCGTGATCTGTCATTTGCCCTGCGTTGCTGCAAATTATTGAAACCTGACTACTTAACAAACGAACCAGCACGAGTCTGCTAATTAACAATCAGACACGTGTTACATCCACCATTCAGCAATAGCCAGAGTATGGTGGAAAAGTTTATAGACTAACTGAGAGAAACATAAAGCGAATGAAAAAGAACAACGAGCCTTCTGAAACACATTTCTGAAAGAACTGATCACTGAGACGAAATAGCTTCAGCCAAGATAAAACACCTCCACTTCATCAGGTGTGACGTTGTAAGTCCCAGCCAGGATTCTTATCTTGTCTTTTACACCACTCGGAACAGAGTAAGAGGAGCCAAAATTTGTGTAAGAAGCAGAGTTACCATTTGCATTGCTAGAAATGGAGATGTCATGCCCTCCACCAAATGTTGGACCATAACTTGAGCGTCTGTAAATTGCATTTGATGGGCTCGTCACCATGCTCTTAAATGGAGCCAGACCTTCTTTGTTGCGGAGCGAAAATATGAACGCATTGGAAGTGGAAGCAAAAGCACCATAATTATAAAAACCAATCGGATCTGAAGAGAAGGGAAGACAAGTAAAAACAATAATAACATATTAAGCGGCTTTAAGTACAACTCGGCCAATATTTTTTAACAAAAGAAAAAAACGTGAGAAATGCTTAACTAAAAGATTCGACCAAGATTTTTGCCAGCCACATGGAACAAATTTGTGCTCTCTACGTTGACTTCACCTGTTCCTCATGACACATGTCATTCAGTTGAAATTAAACGGGTAATAACACGAGAAGGACTTCGGAATGCGAAAGCCCACGAGACACTAAATCAACAGAAAGTAAAAATAATGGTCTTCAAATAAACGATTATACTAGTGCCCTGACGCTACGGACAGCAGACCGCACACTTCAGACCGCAGATCTGGACTAAAACGGATCAAACTCTGTTATTCCAAAGAGCAAACAACGGACCCCTTATTTCTTTTGACTCGTCCCCATAATTCTCTTATGGACTAACCCTCTGTATTCAATCCACTCTTATTAAACTGTTAAGGACACATGTACCACGACTCGTACCTAGAGTCCCATCGACATTATCATAACATAATGGTAAAACGCTTTAATTTATGAAACGATTACATTACGTAGTCGCGTAGCTGCCACTTCCAATAATTGTTTTCAACGTTATGGGAGTATTTGTCTCTACTACTGAGGTTCAAGACTCAGTTTTAAAGTAGTGAAATAGAACACAGGCAACGTCATTTACCCCAAGGTATATCAGTGTATCCTCCAAACACGTACTGTCCCTTTTTGATGATGGTAACCGTGTCACGTTTCCTATCACACCTGTTGTGAAAGGTACTGGCAGCCCAGCCGTGTGTGGAGGCGCGGTAGCACAGCACCCATTGAGGGTTCAATCCAACAGCAGGCGCCAGGAACTGGTTGAGGTGACTTTGATAAAATGCATTGCCGGATATAATAGCTGAGCTCTTCCACAAATCTGAAAATGGAACGGCTTGCATTCAAGAAAATATTGTACAGTGAACATAATTGAAATTTACATCTTAGTCTTTGCCACCAAGAGGTTAATGGAATTAATTTACACTAATTGTTTGCGCTGAAAGCTGTCGAAAGATGTTCTAACATAAAGAAAGTTCAATCAAATTAACCTAATATTTTATTGAGGTTCAGGATTTTGGTTTTTGGTTTATTAATAGAGCTTTGCTGACATGGGTTTCCTAATAATTTACTGCAAATGTAGCCATCTAGGTTGGCGAGTAAACTACCTCCCAAAGGGTTCGTGACCTTGATTATCCACTACTAAAATTAATTCAGAAGGTGTGGCAATACCTAAAATCAACCATTCAGTTTGATTCATTGCCGGTCCAATGTTTTCCTAAGTACTAAACGTATCGCTGTCCCAAATGATCCCGCAAGACCACTCTTAAAGGTTTTATTTTAGTTTTACGACTTTTTTTTGAAAGAATTAACTTAATCGTAAAGGACTTTTTACCCTTTTTTTTTAAAAAAGTTGTTTTCCTTCTTTTTTTTTTTTCAAAATGTGAGACGTGATTACAGGCTGAGTCCATTCTCAGTCACAATTAGCTGCTTTCTGTTTAAGATGTGTTTTTGATTGTTGTTTGTTTATTTTTTGCATTCTGTGATCGTAAGAATATTTTAAACACTTCCAGTCCTGCTGTATTAAATTTCTCATTACCTAGGCCTCGTCGAGACCAAGCTAGTAGAATATCGACCTTTGGTCTATTTTTTGGCGGACCGAGCCCAGTAATCAAGACCTCGGAGTGACATTCTGCCGGCACTGTGGCCTAGCTCTTGGTAAACAAGAAGTACATGTATGTACTCTACGTGTCTTTAAAAAGGAAGAGGAAATTAACGTTGAAGAAACAAGTTGCGCTCGGAATGTCTACATTATGTTAAAAGAAAAGAAGACCTTGAAAACGAAGTTCCAACAGACGACTCGCTTTAAGAATTGCCTGAAGTTAATGTTACTGTTTTATGGACATTGTTGTATAAGATACTCGTTCATCCATAATTGATTCTTATAAAAAGCTTTTTGTTTAATTTCTTTTGTCATCTTACTTTTTGTTTATGTCCTGTTTTGCTATATATTTAAATACTTATTTGTGCTTTTTTTCACTTAACAAAGAAGTACTATGTAAAATTCAAATACTGTATTAGTGTAAGTGATTTATATCAGCGTAAACAACCCAAGCATATTTGTGTGTATAAATAAAGCTTATGGGAAAAAAAAAAAAAATTGATTTTTACCTTGCTTAACGTAATGTAAGGTTGTCAGTGCAGTAACAGATTCCATCCTATTGGTCGCCTTACACTGATAAGGACCAACGTCTTGAGGGCTAAAGTTGGAGATATTCAGTGTACCATTGGTAACAGTGGTTCGTCCTTGTGGTAACGGCACAAGTCCTCTCGACCAAACAATTGTTGGTGGCGGAAAACCAAAGGCTCGGCAGGAAATCGAGGCTACTGAACTTTCAACAACTTTTGTAAGTCTATCAGGGGTCTTGGTAAACTCTGGAGGAACTTAATGAATGAAAAAAGAAAAAAAAACTAAGCTATTTAACCATCATGGCCCTACGATTCATTCCAATCCAGTGCAGATATCTGATTATGTTAGAATTGGTTATAACAGACTTTATTATATGGCTAGCTCCGTGAGCGGGCAAGATGAATCAAATCCTGCGCTGTGATTGGCTACCCGAGCGGGCAAGATGGAGCTATCTTGCCCGNGAGACGGAGTCGAGGTCCATAAACACGCAAAAAAAGAACTTGGCCAATATCCAGCCATCTTGACCTCACACTTGGTCAATAACCCATACACACTGGCCTAATGCAATGACATCAGTAATCATGTAGTTTATGATGCAGCAAATAAATTTTCAGAGCACTTTATTAAAACTCACTGAACAAATATCATTGCACGGGTATGTTAAGACAAGACACCAGCAAACTAAAACGAAAAAAAAAATGAGAAATCAAAGATATCTTCTTTTCAGTTGACTGGCATGCTTTATAGTTTAATGGACTTTTGACTGTATTTTGACGGGGCTCAAGTCTGCTTCCTAAAGTTTGTAATCACTTTTTATAACTATTAGGGAGAAGGACTGCTGAGTTTAAAATTAACCCTCGTACATGCAAGGAGAGGGAAGGGGGGAGGGCGAGGGCGAGATGCATGCCATCTCAACAAAAGGTTTTTTCAAAGTCTTGAAAAGATTTGTTCTAAAATGTTGAAACTTTCAGTAGCTGTTCATTCATCCTTCGCGGAAATTTTTATACGCTAATAGTGTCTCCATGCAGGTTTGGCGAAAAATCTGCTTTTTTAGCATAATTCTACATTTTTTTTTTTTCCAGTTCTCTTCATCAAATAGCAGAAAGTTTTTTTTTTTCCCCTATATTTTATAAGCATTTTGGCTTGATTTTATGGTAATTTCCGCTATTTTTGACGTTTCAAGAAAATAGTGAAATCCAAGATGGCGGATCTAAGATGGCCCAACAAATGACATCATAACAAACATAAATGGCACATCCTGTAGAGTAAGCACAGAGCTATCTACTCAATAAATGTATTACTTTGCTCCTTAACAGAACAAAATCCAAGATGGGGGCTCCATCTAACCCCTCCTCTCCCTCTCTGTACCACTGTGGGAGTTTGACTTTCCTTCTGCGTCCTAGGGTTAAATTCTATTTCAAGAAACATACCTTCCACGAAAAGTTTCACCACCTTTTTAGCTTGTCCCAGGACATTTGTAGCCGTGCAAACATAACTCCCCGAGTCATTGTAATTAGCACTCTTGATTTGTACCTTATTGCCTTGACCTTCCGTATTCACCAGTCCTGTTCCACTTGTTTTACTCCAGGATACCTCAGGCTTGGGATTACCATAAGCCGAGCAGTAAAACGTGGCGGTCTGGTTCTGAGTTACAGTGAGTAAGGCAGGAAATACAATCACTTCTGGAGCAGATATCGAATCTCCTGGGTCACCTTTAGGCCCTGGATGCCCAGTTGCTCCTGTGTTGTATTGAAAAGAGAAAAGAAAATAAACAATATTTGAATTCGACATTTGCCCCAGGGGGCAACCCTCTTACCTGGGATATTTCTTGTCTGTAAAATATACCCTCGTACACTCAACTGTCATGCTTGAATGTAATTGTCAAATTGCATTCAAATGTCGCCATGCAATTATTCAGCCACCGCGCACACTATTGGGTGATAGTATATAATAGCTCAGCCAATCCGAGTGCAACATTTTCATTAGCATAAGAGTAGAATTCTACTAACATAAGTTAGTGATGGTACGCAAAGCCTAACGTCAAAAAAGCAAAAACATTCTATCAAAATTTGACAATTGAACGCTCAGAAACTGAAATAAATCTCCGTTACGGCAGAGCACGAGACTAGATCTTAAATACCTTTTTGGCCCTTGATCCCAGTACTTCCTTTTGGTCCTCTTTCGCCGCGACTTCCTTCGATTCCCTTCGGTCCGGGGGGACCTGCCACGCACACTTTGCCAGGGGAGACACAGTAAGACTCCACAGATTCCTTAATAATGGAGGCTACGTACTTCTTGATACCATCACCAATTTCTTGAAGGGCATCAGGATACTGGCTGTTGGTCTTTAAGCTTCGACGCGAAATTTGACCGTTGGAATCCATGTCTAAAAAAAATGTCATTTCATTTCTAAGGGTGGCGAATGGTCCTTCAAAAATTCTGGGTCTCGCAAAATTTTACTCGAATTTCCCGGGTCTCACAGTCTCGTTTTTTTAGCGGTTATGTGCGTCTCGCAGTCTCAATTTTTATACGAAGCTCTCTCGGAGTCTCGACTTTTTGCAGGGTTACTGGTTTCGAAGTTTCGATTCGTTTGTTTGTTTTAAGAAATGACGTCTTCTCGTAACTTGATATTGAATTTCAATAAAGCAACTTTCAAATTTTCGAGAAAAAGTTAATCCTAACTTCTGCCAAATTGTCTGAATTCCACAAAAAGCTACAAAACTTACTGCAACGTCATTTTGGCGCCAAAAAACAGTTATTTTGTTCTAGGATATCCTAACGTAGTGTGTTATAGTCGAATTTCCAGTTCCAGCTTGTTCGCAAAGGCTGGCTAAAAGGCTAAACGGGGAATTAAGAAGCCACACACAACCCACGATAGCTCATGATGAAACCCACGAAGTCGAAGAACTTATCTGTTGTCCCCTGTGGAGCTGTGTAAAGGCACAAGTATTTACGACAAAAGGCTTTTTTGTAAGACTTCTGTACAAGCTCATTCTCGCTCATTCTTATAGCTCTCAACGAAATCTGGGGCTCGAATTTTAAGAGTCTGAGCCCCTCGCGCTCGCACTCAAAACACTTTGAAGTCTGGGTATCGCAATCTAAAAAGTCAATATGTCTCGGGCTCGCAAAGAAAAGCGGTGGCCTCGCCGTCTCGCAGAGTCTCGCATTTACCATTCACCACCCCTATTTCTCCGTCTGATTTCACGAGGAACTGGATGACACATACCTGACGTGACTTATCGATTCTTATTAGCATTAGCTTACCAACTCTTAATAGAAACATCAATATATTAACACATTTTGTAATCTTTCAATTGTCCATTAATGGTCATCGATGCCTGACACTGGTCGAAAAAAACAAAACAAAAGAAAAAAAAA